AAAAAGCATATTCGTGTTCACTGAATATGCAATTGACTGGCACTGGGAATTGGCTTAGAAGGAAAAACTTCTTTTCCATCTTACCAGAGGCTGCCAAAGTGCCTGGGCGTATTTCACATCTATGCAGGCACTTTGGGGAGCGCCGCCGGGAGAAAATGCAATAAAACATTTTTCACCCTTAAGGAATAAAACGTATGGGAATAAAGTTATGTGGCTTACAAAGCTGACAATCTATCAATGGCTAAGCAAATGCATTGTGGTTGGGATGTGCCTACGGGAAAACAGGTAAAACTGGTAAATGAAAATTCGTTTACTTTAAAACCTATTCCCAAAGCTAATATACTTATCTTGAAGTAAACATAAAAACTATTTTATGATGTATCAAATACTTCAGTTTTTAGGAAAACGTACATCATTTTAAAGATCTCCCATTTATATGAGTGCAATTGCGATAACAAAATTCAAGTGCTTTTCCTACTTTTTCCCATCCGAGATGTAATTTCCCCAGCTACGCATTTTCGCTTGACACTCGACGCTCATTTTCATCGGACGCATCTTTTCACCTTTGGTTTCTGGTTTTCCACGCGACTAATTGTCGGAATCGGATGGCCATAAAAGCGAACCTGGTCGCAAATGTAATTAACGTTTCTTGCTCGAAATTTCCTGCTCGCGAAGTGCAATTTCCCTGCCTGTTTCCCTCGCTTCCTACGCGAATTTCCACCAGTTGGTCATTAGCCGGGTCCATTTTTCTACCATTTTTCTACCTGCTTTTGGGACGTGTCCGACCAACTTTTCATGTACAAAACTTTTGTATGCGAGCGCTTCTGTTGGTTTTCCACAGTTTTTCCGCTCCGCGGGCAATGTGAAATTTTTCGCTGTAAACGTGACCATTGCTGTTTGTCGCCGCTGGAAATCTGTGTTGTTGTTTGCCGCCTAATTAAATCGTCTAAGCACCTTGACCGTTTTCGCATTCAGTGACCACCAACCACCAACTACCGCCCATCCGTCAGATACAAGATACATTTGTGCAAATCACCGAAAAACATGTTTCACATTTCGCACAGCCGCTCACGGGCCCAATTTTGTGGGTCACACATGGCCAGGAGCATTTGTTGTGTAGTCTTAAGCCGGATTTATTCCTGTTTGGGTTTGGGTTTTAACGGTATTCTATTGTCGGAGTAGATTTTTATATTTTTGTACCCAAGCCGAAAGCTGGTACCTGAAATGTGTGGCTTTAAATTATAGTGAAACGTATTAAAATTTATATTTATACCATACAAAGTTAATAGTAAATTTGGTAAAATGCTCTTACATTTCAAATCAAATTATATTTTAAGACTAAAAGACTTTTTTGTGTCACTGTTTGAAATTGCCAAACAGAAATTAATAAGACCAATACCAGTTAGAAATAGTACAAAGATGTTTTTCAATAATAAATTAAATATTAAATCAGTATTTTATTTTTGTATCAATACAGAAATGTTACCCATCTCTTTTGTTTTTTAAAATGGATTAAATAGATTTTACAGCTTAGATAAATTAAATTTGACATATATGGCAATAAACCATAAACATCTCAAAGTAAGCAAAGATTAATAATTCTATTTATGTTATATATATAATTTTATACTTTTAATGCAAATGCATTAAGAAAACTCGAGTGTATCTGAAGATGTTTTTAACGGAACCTTCAGACCGTTGCATAAGCAAAGAAGCTGTTTTCTATTCAATTCAAACTTTTTTCTTGACAACCACTTACTTTGTAATTGCATAAAATCGGATGACAGAGACCTGTAGGCGGTGGGCGGTAAATATGGAGTGCTACTCGTAAGTTAGTTTATTTCGAACTACCGTTTCAAAGGCCCGTTGCACTTAATGAGCCTGCCACTCCATTACTTCGAATCTCGAGGCTTACAGTTTATGCGCATCGAAACTTCTAATTGGCTCTCAGCTCAAACCACTGACAGATGCACGCCAGTTAACAGTTTTAAGAGTTTAATGTGTTGACGATTCGTATCTGACAGATACATTTCGGCAGGCGGCACCTTCCCGTCTTGTTTTCTGTGCGAATTTGCATGGTGGGCTGACTTTGGCATCAAGAACAGGTCTACTCTTTTTCTGGAGGAGAATGTTAAATCAGGTAGCACCTTAAACTACACTAAAATATTAAAATATTAAATTTATATCCAAAAAAATATACCAATCTTTTTGCAAGATTAAAATTGGAAAAGTATTTTAGTAACTTAGAAATAAGTACATAAATCAAAAGTTGTGTGCATTTTTAAAAAATTTTTCTCGACAGTTGATAAGTTAAAATTTAATACTGTCTTAAGTCAAACAACTTCATTAAAACTATTGAAAAATGATAACATTTTATTATAATAATGTTGTTTTAAACCTTTTTAATGTTGCTGGGGTGAATCACTTATTCCACTTGAACTAAGTGTTCGCCACGTTTCTACTATCTAAAATATGGACTTAATTTCTTGTTTTGGCTTGAATTTATTTGCTTGGCTCTCTAGCGTTTCGGAGTGTCTCCGGAGTGCCGTGATCTCAATTATTTTTGCAATTACTTTTTATGATTCTAGAGTTTACAGTTGCTCCACCTCCAGAGGCCTTCAGCAGCTCGATTGGATTGGATTCGAGTCGAGTTGTGGCATGGAGTGGACTCTCTGCGCTGCTGTGTCATTGCGGGTGTTTGTTCTGCCTGGGCCATGAATCAAGCTGCCCCCAATTGAAATGTCAACAATTGACTCCAAGTTAAAGCGTTAGAAGCTGACATAATCGCAGCAGCCAGTGGTTGGTGGCCCGCCCCCGCTGACGAATCGCAGCGGAGAGTTGCAGAGGGGCACCACTCGGAAGTGGGTCAGTGGCTGGCATTTAGCTGGGTAGCTGTATCCATCAGATACACGTACAATATCTGGGAGCGTCATCTGCGCGTCCAAACTTGGCCATTTGTGGGTTTGTTTTGCTAGTACTTGCTGGTCGAGATGGTGGCTTAGCTGTACCTATTGTGGCCGAAACCGGTTTCCTGTTAAAAGCACTAAGTAAACGACCGGGCAAAGAGGAGTTTAAGCCCCGCTTTTATGGCCATTGTCCGTCGCGGTTCCTTGACACTCTTCTGCCCTCCGGTGGAAACCAGTTTTCAATCGACTCTTGATTTGCCTGCACTAAATACCCCTTCTACTCGGTCACGCTTAGGTAGAACATCTATTCCGCCCTCCAAGTTTCGAGTCTTACAATTGCCCTATGTAAATCTATTTGACTGTTTTCCCTCCGTGTCTAATGTCGATTTCGTGGCTTTTCGACAACTTCCGCTCGGCTTGTTTATGGGCCACAATTTGTTGACTTATTTATTTGAAATCTGGCAAAGTTGCACAACAATTTCCCACTGAGAAGTCGTTTAAGTGCAGACACCACCGCGGAGAAGTCATGCCACACTTGGCTGCCTCTGTCTCCCGCCGACTGCACTGGAAAAAAATGTGTATATTTCATCAAAAAACGTAAAAGAAACCTAGCATATGAAACCTTTAAATAATATTTTAATCCCTTAGTAAAATAAGATAAGATTTTTTTACTATTAGAACAATTTATTTTGGGGAAATTGTAATAAATTTACATCATAATAGTTATTAGTTGTGTGGGAAATATTAAAAAAATTAAACAACTATATATTTATTAATTATCGTTACAAATTATAAGAGCTAATTACATCCAAGCGATTTGAAAGTACAATATTGAAAGTTGGAATTGTGAAAAAGATTTAATTGTGTTTTTCGTTGCCTTAGTTTTTTGCCTGTATGCCTAATTTACATTGGCAACTCTACGGGCCAATTGGCTGAGTGACTCGACTTAACTTGGCCTGAACTGAACTGAGCTGAACTGAACGCCTGACTCACTGACTAACTGACTGAATGACTGAGTGGCTGAGTGGCTGGCTGGGCCTGAGCGATTGCAGCCTGTCTTTGGCTTGGCTCGAGCTCGAGCAAATGTTGCACGACTCTCGCTTCTGCTGCTTTCGATGTGGTTGCCGTTGTCTCGCCTTAATTCGGTGGTCTGGTGGTGCGGTGGTCTGGCGTTTCGGTGGGTCTCTCTTGCCAGTCAGTCGGTGGTGGAACGCAGACCCAGTCCCAAGTCGCAAAAGTCTCCGGCTGAAAGCTGATTGCTGCTGCAAGTCGCCTCGGTGCATTCATAATTGGATTGGCCATATTCCGCATCTTGTCATAATTCCGTATCGATTGGCAGTTGTGACACATATTGAGACCACATAATGGAGAGTGCCCTGCCGGTGGCCGAGTTCCAGCAGATAAAGCTGCGCCCGGTGCCAAAGGTCAAGCGCCGTGCTCCGCAGCCACCTGTAAGCCTACGGCTCAAGCAGAAAAATGTGCGAAAAGTAGCCTTAAGTACCTCGAAAGTCCCATTTTTCCAGACCCCTGAACTTTCGCTCTCAAACGGAAAGTAAATAGTGCAAAAGTGAAAACAATGGCATTTACTCGAAGGAAAAGGAGAGCAAAAGCATGGGAACAAATCCCTGCGATTAAAGTGCAATCTTAACCGATTCTCACTTGTGAATATTTTCTTGAGAAATCAACCTACAACTTGTGGCAATCAAACTAAATGTGCTTCGAGATTAAATTGAGCATTTAAATAATTAATTACAGTTTGGCTGGATAATTTCCATATATCTGTAATGAGGCATTTAGACTAAATAGGTTTTCCTGAAGATCAAATTAATTAGTATTTAGAATCAATATTTATTTAAAAGCCCATTTAGTTGTTTTTAAGACATTTACATGATATTTTTGCTTGGAAAGGTAAAGAGCATTTAAAAAATCAACTGAGCCTTAGAGTTATATTTGTATTTTATTTGAAATAAATTATGAAAATATGAAATTTATTAAAAAGATATCCTAAGCTTCCTTGTAAATTTTTGAGTAACAAACCACATGAGAAGTTAACCATTTTAAATGATAACTAATATGTTATATTTTTCCTTGCAGACTTCAGCCACCACAAAGACAACTACGCTCACCACCCCCGCCAAACTTTATGGCAAGGACCTGAGTGAGTATGACGATGTGGACGTGGAGAGCCTGCTGGCCCAGCTCTCGCCTGAAGAGATAACTATACTGGCCAAAGAAGTGGATCCCGATGTGAGTATCTTTTTGCGAAAAATTTCAAAAATTCCCTAGCTCATTGTTCCTTTAATATTATTTTGATAGGACAACTTCCTGCCGCCAGACCAGCGTAACAGCTACGAGTGCACCAAGGAAGCCACTGGGCCATTAAACCGCAAGCAGCTGATCGAACACATCAACAAGCAGGCGATCGAGACACCCGATCAGCCGGAATTCGAGCCTTTTGTCCAGGGCACAGTGCGCGGCAAGAAGTGGGTGCCGCCGCCAAGGGATGCCCGCGAGATCGAGGCCGAGGAACAGATCGCCATCGACATGGGCGAGGAGTACGAGCATGCCCTGAACGATGCCACGCAGGAGGAGATCATCGATCTGGCCGCCATCCTGGGCTTCCACTCGATGATGAACCAGGACCAGTACCACGCCTCGCTGCTCAACAAGGGACAGCCCGTTGGCCTCGGATGGGATGGCATCACAAAGTCCACCCAGCAGAAGCTCTTCCCCATGGATCCGCCAAACAGCACAGATGTGGAGGAGTCCATCAAGCGGGTCAAGGACGATGACTCCAAGCTGATTGACCTCAACTTGAACAACATTAAGGTTTTGCCCTTGGATTTTGACCATTATTCTGTATCCTTACTAACGCATTTTTTCTACCTACTCAGAACATCTCAGACGAGAAGCTCGAGCAACTGTTTGCCGCACTGCCTCAGAACGAACATCTGGAAGTCCTCTCGCTGACAAATGTCGGCCTCACCGACAAGACAGCCCTCCTTTTAGCCGAGGCCATCGAGAAGAGCAAAACCCTGAGAGTATTAAACGTCGAGACCAACTTCATAAGTCCGCCCGTGATCGTTAAGTTGGTGCAAGCCCTGCTCAAGTGCCACACCATCGAGGAGTTCAGGGCCTCCAATCAGGTGAGTGGGCTCTTCAGTTGCCCCATAATGTGTTGCCCTTAGCTGGAGCGTGACTAATAGAAACTGTATGGCTCATTAAAAAAAGATTTCAATGCCATAGCTGTAGGTGAAATATAAGATAATAACACATTCAACTTTGATTTATGATAACGATGGCATAAAATTTAATTTATTTTTAGTTACGGATCATCAAAAAGTAATATCAAATTTAGACATTTACGAAAAGTTTTTTTTACAAAGTTTCATAACAAATCATTTCAAATTGGTAAAACCTAAATTAAATTTCGGAATTGGATTTTCTATATTTTTTTAACACTGTACTTAATGTGTTTATATTCAGGGTTTTTAAAAATCTTTTAATTTTTGTTTTTTAAATTACAGCATCCACCCAGCAAATGGCATTACATAGTTATCATAAACTTATCTAACACTTATATTTCCTTTTCCACCAGCGATCTGCGGTGCTGGGCAACAAGATCGAGATGGAGATCACCGACCTGGTGGAGAAGAACTCGTCGCTGCTGCGCCTCGGATTGCACCTGGAGTTCAACGACGCCCGCCACCGAGTGGCCGCTCACCTGCAGCGCAACATCGACAGAAGTAAGTTGACCCCTGGGATTGGCAGCCCGACCCGCTGGTTACTTCCACTCCCAGCGATCTGCAGCCGATCAGCGTTGGTTCCACTCGTCGTTCCACTCCTCCTCCCCTCGATAGGATTAGGTATTTCTTATTGACTGAGTTGCCTCACTCGCGCGTTTAGGTGAATTGCAACAAGGTATGTTAGCCAGCATCATCATGACCACTGCCGATACCACCACCACTACCACCACCACTGCTTCGCCATCGTCACAGCCTTCATCCAGCAATCAATCGCCAATCCATCCTGACCATTCTGCCGAGGCGGCCAAGGAAATCTCGCCCACGAGATTGAAGAGCCTGGCTGCCTTCGAGCAGTTCATCAAGGCGCGCACCTGGACCGATCCGGCAGATACTGTAACCCATAACTTGCCATCTGCAGGTCGTTTAGTGCGCAATCTTCAGGCAGAGGCATCTGCAGTCGCTTCCACGTCCGGAACTGGAGCTGAGAAGAAGATTTGAGGGCCGCATTTGGTAACCGAGCTCTGCGTTCTTGTTGCGTCCTCCCCAACCCCACTCTTCACTCACTTTCTCTATCTATTTATCTTGTGTGTCTGGTAACCAGGTAATCCGTTCTCGGCCTTCATCAGCCTCATCGTCATTCCAGATCAGTCCAGTTCAGTCTTAACGCCATCGTGCCACATTCTCACATCGTCTCACCAGCCTTCGTTGCGTTATCGTTATCGTTCACGTTTCGTTATCACGTTATCGTTCGTTTTCACCTGTCGTTATCGTTCACTGGTTATCGTTTTGGGTTGGGCATCGCAAAAGATATTTTTAAATCGTATTATTTTAAAGGCCAAATAATAGCACTGAAGAAGGGAATTTCATAAAATGGATTCTAATTTAAACTTTAAAATTTATACAAACAAAAATTTTATCTAGAAAATGGAATAAACAATGGCTTTTGTAATGAGTAGTAGTCTATTTTTTATGAAATGTCTAACTTTTTTAATAGTTACATCTAATTATTTAAGCTCCTACATTTTTAGTGCTATTATTTACTACATTCTAATTTACATACATTAATTATGGTTAAAGGGTTCAGTACGTATATCATTCTTCCATGTCCACTCAATGCTAACCCATGTGTTACCCTTTTAGACTAGAAAGGATCTCGCTAGTAGAGATCGTCCCACCTTTGTAATATTCTGTGCCTCCCCCTCGTTTTTCTCTCGTCTCCCGTTTCTTGTAATTACCATAGACTGTAAAAGTGTCTGCGCCAAGAAAAACATTAACAAATTATCCACTTGTCTGTTGTAAATTTGCAACGCTACTCTCAAACTCAAAACACCAAAACAGTCTTCCGCGTTCAGAAACTCAAGCCGAATCTGCCGAAGTTGATCCTGCCCGGTAACTTGGAGATTGAGCGTGATCTTATTGCCTATAACCGATCGGCCACGCCCTCTCCGTCGCCTTCGCCGCAGCCCCCAGTGGATTATGATGTGGAAGTGGATCCGGATAATATGGTAGTCCGGGGCGGCGGCGATGCCTTCGATCCGGAGATCGACCCCGACAACATGGTGGTGCCGGGCAGTCGGTCCGTGACACCGAACTACGATGATGAAGGTGTCTACCAAGCGCACACGTGAGTGAGAGGCCGAGCAGCCACTGCAGCCGCACCACCGGAGCCACTGAAAAAACCACTGAATGCCACAGAATACCACAGCAAACCACAGCAACCACTAGTTCGAGCCATGTACAGACAGTCATTCGATCCACTCGCGCCTTTCCCTTTTCTGTCTCATTGGTTACGTAACCCCTCGATGTTGTCGTTGTCGTTGCCCCGAAAAAAATACACACTCGAACACTCTGGACTCTGGATGCAGTCCATCGATCTTGCTGACCAAGAACTTGTACATACCCCACAATGAATACCATGCGGAGAAATACCAGAAAAATATCTGTTCCTAATTGCCATAGTCGGTTTTTCGTAGAAATATGACTCTTAAAACCAAATTAAGAAGTAAATTAGCTAACATAATTTAAATATTTTTTTAAAATACATTTTGAAGAACCAATTTAAAGAGCCATTTTACACGAAAAAGTACCGATTTGATGGCAAATTTGGAAGATATTTTTGTACTGTGCAGAAACCGGAAACTGATTCCAGCACAAGACCTCTTTGTTTTTATCTGTTTTTCATGTCGTCGTTGTCAGCCGCTTTTTCCATTTGAAATCGATCCGTGTATATAACCCAGCCACGATCCTATGTCATTCAGATCAGATGCGTGCTATTAACCCACACCCAAGCACACCCATACACACTCTCATCGCAGCACTCTGTGTTTTGTATCTCTGTGTCTTTCTATCTCCCAAAAAACAGACGAAATCAGATATATCAGCCAATAAACGATTCAGAAACTCAGTTTTCGAGACAGTCAAAGACTCATGATTATAATTTCTTGCCCCCTTTTTTGTGACCCGTCTTTATCACCTTTTGTTTATGTGTTCTATTCTCTCTCTTCCCCTCTCTCTGTTTCTCGTTTTCAGTAAGAAAAGATCTTGAGTTGCGACTGCAGTTCAGATTTTTCAATAATCTGCATAGAAAGTCGACAAGAATTCAATAAGCAGACCAGAAAGCAAGCAACTAAACCATTTTTAAAGCGTTTTGTAATCTAAACCCAAAGAACCGAAGAAAAACAGAAGCACATAACAACGAAAGAACGTGTATAATATAATATAATATATATAAAGAAGAAGGAAGCAGGAGCAGAAGTTTAAGCTAAAGATAAAGCAGCCACAGAGCTTGCCAAAAAAATATCTATATACTCTAGAGACTTTAACTAAGCAAAGCAAACTGAAACCAAAGAAACGAAGTGAAATATCAAACTAAATACATTATACCATATATATATCGAACAGGCTTATGAGGCATGGGTGATTGGGTAATACCAATACCCATGTGCCATGAGTTGTGTTCGAAGTCGAGGCAGAAGTCTTCTATAACCCAGCAGAAATCGTTTAGGCGTCACGTGTATAATTTTCTCTAACGCTTAACACAGGTATCTATGAACACGGATTCTCCCTTCACTTCTTCTGCTAACTTGCAAGAACTGCCAAATAACCAAAGCCCCCCACTAGCAACCAGCATTCTGCTATATATAGCTTTCAGATATATAGCTTATAACTAGCTTTCGCTGATTTTCTGATTAGAGAGAGCAACCTGAAAGTGCATTTGGCTGATTGTTTGCACAACTCAAAAGCAGTATCGAATGATCACAGTAAACTAAACAAATATCTTTTCATACTCTTGCTAAAAAAAAGAACGTTTAGATAATTTGTTGCACTTTAAATAATTTCAAATAAATACAGATCTAGTTTTGTTTACCAGGTTTTCAACTACATAAAAATTTCCGTTTTTCTGAAAAATTTGTGAACTCAAATAAATGTTACCAGTTATAAGTACCAAAAATGATCATATTTTAAGGCAAAAAGTTGATATATAAAATTTTTCAGGAAAAAGTTTGTTTACTGTTTTAGAAATACATATATATTTTACAAAACATAAAAGGATTTTCTTAAATTTTTTGGTCAATGTGTGAATTTATGATTTATTTCCTTAATTTATTTACATGCAAGGGTATTTGCAGCTTCGGATATTCGAAGCTAGAGTTTCCTCTTATGTGTCTGTACTACTGATCAGTCATGAACACTAGCACCCAGCATTATTTGTAACCGTTTATATTGTTGCCTCATTAAGTAAATTATTTTGTTTACTACTTAAGTTAACCATACATTGCATGTTTTTGCTTTTTACCCACCGTTTTGGCATGTTTTTTCCTCGGCCGAACCATTTGCATGCTATATGTGATCAAATCAGAACACGATCCACACATCAGACAAATATTCGCAGTGAGCTTATATTGCGGCTCTAATGAAGTTCTCTTCGTATAGGAATTAAACTGCGATGTATGATCTAAGTGAGTCCCCCAGATCCGAGTCAAAGTAAAACGATAGTAGCAGAAACCCACAACAAACATAGTTTTATGATTCAATAAGAACCAACAACTAACAGCAGAAATGAAAAATGAAGCACCACCGACAAGAAGAGCCATGAAAAAATCTACAGATATATATAAAAACACGATGCAAAATATGTGAAACAGATGAAAAGTTGGTACCCTTCTGTCTAAGTAATTGTTGTTTGATCTGCGACCGAAAGAATACCAACTAACCCTGAACAATATAACCCCAAAAGCTTCCACCTAATCGAAAGTTAATCTTAAGGACCCTTGCCCGAAATAAAGTCCAGAAAGCTTGGGCCGACTTGAATGTTGTACCTGCTACTTGATTGACTGTTTGATATTGATTGATTGAAGTTCGAAACTAACCCGAAAACTAAATTGTTGAATCCTTTCTCTATATTTTTCACTCTATGTTGCCACCACTTGACTAATGCCAATTTATTTGTTTCTTCTCTTCCGCCCCGCCCACGCACAAACACACTCTCGTTATCCTGTATCTGTGTTTCCAGTACGTGTGAAACGCCTGAACCAGCGTAAATAAAAAGACAAAAAACGAAATATATAGCAGCAACCAACCAACAACAACATGCCACCAACCCAAGAACAACAATCAACCAGAAAGCCATCTATATGTGTGTGTGTGTGTGTTTGTTTGTCCAACTCTTGATTTGATTTGATTACCAATTAACAAGCAAACCCAGCAAGACAACCACCAAACCAACAACACCACCAGCAAGCCACAACAACAACAACGAGAACATGAGCAACCACGGCAACAAGAACAACTGATCTATGTTAATCCAAACTTACCCCACCAACCGACCTCTGTAATCCCCGAAACCAATCCACCAAAAGAATCCAACCAACCAGCTGTAAACTAACACCGAAGAATGATGTGTGACATGAAGTACGTAAAGTATCTATTGGATAATACATATGCAAATAAATAATGTATGAATTTCACAAGCTAAGGTAATTTAAGAATTACTTAAGGTATTTTTCCGTAGTCAGGTTCTATTTGTAAAAAAGAAGCTAAAGTGAATAGGAAAGTTTTTAGCATGACTGGTTTTGCACAAAAAGAGTTAAATATTATTTGATTTCTAATTGTTATTAGTTCCAACTTTTATACAATCCACTTGTCAAAAAATAAAAACGAATGTATACAATTTTAAACTGCCAAACAAATCGATTTAAAAGTGAATATTTTTTCTATTTCACCAAATGTAAAATCAAATTGGATAAAAAAAAAATTAGACCAAAGCTAAAGATAAAATAAATGTACTTTTGATTATTGTAGATTATAGATTTTATTTTATTATTTTTTGTCATTGAACATTTAGTTATAGAGTGGTCTAATTCAACTCAACTTGTAAGTAGAATTAAAAGTTAATGGTGACATCACTTATTATGATTTCACCAGTTCAATTGAAGCATCATAAGTTAGCACCTAAGATCCCCTGGTGACCCCGTCATCAGAAAAGCGTAAATTTTAGCGCTATCAGCCGAGATTGGCCCGAAGTAAACCCTAAATGTTATGGTAAATATTAACGGAATAGGAAATCTGATTAGCGACTCTCTTTAGGTTAGTCTTAAGTCAACAACGGCAACGTTTTTGTTCAACTGTTGTGCGTCATGCTTCGCCTTGTGCGAAATAGCTTAGCGTTTTTGGTGTTGCTTTTTTTGGTAAAAGGAATTTATTGAGAATATTTCTAATCCTGTTTTACGTATGTTTTCAGTTGGACGTCAGCGTCGCATGGGACACCTGAGCAGGAACTACACCATTGGCGTCTGGCAGTAGGAATCATTGAAATATGGAGTCCACATTTTAATCCCGAAACAAAAAATGCAATAGCCTAAACATAGTGTTGTCATATTTGTTGTTGTTCTCACGCGGAGCATTGTTTTATTGTTTTGTTTAATGTTTGTTGCGTTCTTCAGATTGATGACTTCGGTTCGAGTTTGTGTTCGGTTCACCATATATAAGCATAATCATTTGTTTGTTACGAGTTAGACGAATGTTCATTGTCACCCACACACACACAGGCAGATCAAGGATTTACTTTCTATCTGGCAGCTCTAAAATATTACTTTCCTTAAGCAAAATCTTCACATTTACGCTGCAGTTACACACACGCCTTTTGCGTCGATCACTTTGATTATTTTATTTTATTTTATTTACCTTCCATTCTGTCCCTGTCGTTCTTTTAGCCCCTAGACGGGGCCATGTTTCACAATTTTTAGTTTTAGTCGTGTTTATATCCACACATGCACACACACATGATACAAACACATACATAATACTTATATACACTTTATATATATGATACATATATAGCCATGGTCTCTGAAACAATTTACTGCTATTGAATTATGAAAATGCTTAAACATAAATTTAACTTATGGTTAAACACACAAATGAAAAACAAACAATTGTATAATGTAATGATATATCTTACTTTATATGACATAATGCAATGCTTTTAAAATACAATTTTTAAAAATCATGTAAAAACTATAAAATTAAATAAAAAAAAATACAAAAAATATTTAACAGGTTTTGTTTCTAATTTACTGGTGGAGGATTCTTCTTAACTTGAAATAATGTACTTTCCTAAAATGGCTTTGCAGAAAAGTGACCTTATATCAGCACTTCTAAGGTTGGTTTGAAATTTTGGGTCCATTTTATTGAAGTTTTAATGATGTAACCCCTTTCCTTTTTTTACAAAAATGGCTTTGCAGAAAAGTGACCTAATATCAGCACTTCTAAAGCCATAAGTTTTCTTACAGTTATCCGATTTTAAAAAGACATGGCTCTATATGTTTGTGGTTTTATACTCTGAAAATCTGCATTTAAATGTTGATTTGTAATTTTGGGTCGATTTTATTGGTATTTTAATAATGTGACTCCTTTTAATTTGTTCGTAAAGTAGCTTTGTAGAAAAGCGACCTAAAACCAGTACTTCTAAGTCTATAAGTTTGCTTGAAGAAATGCGATTTTGAAAAGGCACACCACTTAAATTTGTAGTTCAATTTTTTAAGAATCTGCATGTTATTGTTGTGGCTATTTTCTGGTCGATTTAATGAAATAGAAAAAAAATGTAAATGAAAATGAATGAAATAGATAAAAAAATTGCTTTCAGCACCTTACTTTTGCCTTTTATACACAAATTGCTTTCGTCAACAAGTATAATTTAGTTAAAAATAGCGAGACTTCCTTTCCGCCTTATAATCTTTAATTTAATTATCTCTATAAGATAAGTAAAGAGTAGACAGTAGCAGCTTGGTACTAGATAATATTAGACATCTAAAATCCACCTTGCTGCTCTGTATGTCTTCACTTTCGATTATAAAGCTGTCTTTTAACCCGAGAAGCTGGCGCTCTAATCAAAGCTGAATAACTGTGAACATCAATATTTACCTGGCGAACAAGTAGTGCACACTTGATGATCGATTCCCAATAGATCGCTCTTTATTAATGGAAAAATTCCGATTATCAATAGGGGACAGTTGTGCCAGTTGGCAGGCCAGTTGACAATTCCAAGGCAAACATAGAAAAGGGGCGTATGCAATGGGGGTTTGTCAAGAGCGATTTGGTGGGCTTACGGAGCCGCTGTGGATCCAACTGAAAGATACAACCTGTATCCCGCTTCCACACACGACACGCGTCGATGTCTGGGCAAACAGCCTCCGGAGATAAGAGCGCGTGACGCAGCCCCTTGGATCATCAGGTTGCGGCGGCGTGTCGTCCGGCCCATCAGTTAACGCAGAGATCTCGGCCAGAATGTCCACGCTGGAGAACGAGGTGACCTTCCGCAAGCAGGCGGAGGTCAATCAGAATCTGGAGGCGCAGTTCGACAGCACCTCCACGGACTTTATCCTGATCACCGACCACCGCACTTCGAAGAGCAAGAGTTTGGAGCAGCTGGAAGCCTCCAAGGAGACGGAAAATGCCGAATCCTGCTGTTCGCGTTACGCCCGTAATGTCTTCCGGATGAAGACCCTCAAGAGGCGGCTGCCATTCCTCACCTGGCTGCCGCACTATAACACCAAAGACTGTATAGGCGACTTGATCGCCGGATTCACCGTGGGCCTGACCGTGATTCCCCAGGGATTGGCCTACTCGGGCGTGGTCGGTCTGCCGCCGGAGGTGAGTATCTCTACAAACAAATATATGTTTATTTTGATATTCAAACCAATAATCTAAAGATATTTGTTTAGAAATCCATTTGTGAAAAGAGACTTGTAAAATTTTTTCTCCGTGTACCAATTACGATTGGTCAATCAAGACGTTATCATGTTTTTCCATCTTATTAACAAGTTGAGGACAGCGGAAAAGCACCGAGATAAGTTTGAGGTGATAGCTCGATCATTGATCTTAAGTGCGTCTCAGGTAAAGCAGGTCTTGGCAAAGAAATTTGATTTTTATATATTATCCTTTTTTAAGATGATAAAAGATCCTTAACAAATTATACGGTGCAATTTCGAAACTTAAAAACAGTGGAAAATGAAATGCGGCAATTAAAATATTTTTATTTTAATCAAAAATGACCCAAGAAGTTTTAGATCGCAATAGCAACTCTTTATTAGTTATAAAATATCATGAGTAACCACTGGATTTTTACCCAGAAGTCAGATAAATAAATCCCAAACGGACTTTTATTTACATGGTCTGATGAAATTTTTCGCTGGTAAACCTTCGTTATGAGAATAAGTTCCAAAACCAATTTTTTTGAGTATTCTCCTTTGTAGTGTTCACTCGAATCCGTGACTTCTTTCTTATTCTTGGTTTACCCTTGTGATCGTAATATAGATTTCCACCTAAGCTACTTCTTTTGAAACGCTTTTCCTTAGTCATATTTTCCTATTAATATGGATTAAAATTAGCATTATAAAACAGTTCAATAAATAATAAATTCAGGGAAACATATTTTTAATCGTAATTTTTAGTTGAAAAAATATGTAATGCGAACGGGTATACAAACCTGTAGAAGACGAATGGGAGTTCCTAAATCTGCATACAGTTGCTGAGAAAAAAAGTGAACTATTATATTAGCAGGTGTTCCTTTACCAAGTCTATCAAAAGATTTACCTTATAAGAATTATCAATTAATGGTGTTCCAAAGTGTTTTAATTGAGGACTAGTATAGTGTTCGTTATGTTGTCCTTTGACTAGGAGAATTTCGTTTATGATAAAGAATATAAGGGAGCAGATTCTCATTCTATCCGTCGAATTGGAGTTCCAAACTGCTTATGATGTTACTTACGTTAAAATTTTGTGATGCCTCATGACGCTTACTCATGGGGAATGCGGTTATTGTTTTTGTTCCGTACTTGTTGCGTCAAAAGAATGTATACTCTAAGGATCTTTACCATTAAGTAGGGTCTTTGGCCTTTTACTTGACTTTGTTATTAAGGAAATGTTAGAAAAGTGTGACTCGATACATCATCATCAGATGATCATCAGATGAGTAATACTGATGGATTTAGATCAGAAAACCCATTTCGCACTTTACTAAAAATGTATTAAATTTGTAATGCAGCTTTTCTATATCCCTTCCGCAGTATGGCCTTTATGGAGCTTTTATGGGCTGTTTCGTCTATGTCCTTCTGGGCACCTGCAAGGACAGCACAATTGGCAGCACGGCGGTGGCCTCACTCATGACCTTTCAGTTTGCGCAGGGCTCCTGGCAGAGATCCGTACTCCTCACCTTCCTCACCGGCATAATTGAGATTCTGATGGCCATTTTCAAACTGGGATGTCTGGTGGAGTTTGTATCTGGACCAGTGAGTGCGGGTTTTACGAGTGCCGTGGCCCTGATTGTGTCCACCTCCCAAATGCGATCGATGCTGGGTGTGAAGAGCGATGGTGGCTCCTTTTTGGAAACCTGGATAAGCATGTTCCGGGATATCGAAAATGTGAGGGTTGCCGACACCTGCTTGGGTTTTGGATGTGTCTTCCTGCTTCTAGCCATGAGAAGTTTTGGCAAGTTGACTATTGGTCCGAAAGATGGGGCAAGGCGAAATAGATTCCAGCGGATTGTCAATCAGGCTATCAAATTCGTATCCACCTCGCGAAATGCCTCCGTAGTGATTTTGTTTACCGTGATCACCATGTACTTGGATGCCAATGGAACAAATCCATTTCGACTAACTGGAAATATACCCAAAGGAATGCCGGCGCCATCACTGCCTCCGTTCTCAATTGAAGCCCAGCCGGGAAATGAAACTGCTGGCATTCCGCCGGTGCCAGGTCAGAATTTCCTGGAAATGGTGCAGAGTATGGGATATGGACTCCTGATCGTTCCCTTGATGGCTCTACTGGAGACCATGTCGGTTTGCAAGGCCTTCGCCAAGGGAAAACAGATAGATATCACCCAGGAAATGATTGCCTGTGGTGTGGGCAACATAGCAACCTCTATTTTCTCTGGATATCGGTGCAATGGTGGACTGGCCCGATCGGCAGTGAATAATGCCAGTGGTTGTCGCACTAATATGTCCAATTTATACATTGGAGTGATTGTTGTGCTGGCCCTGAATTTCCTCACCGACTACTTTGCGTTTATTCCCAAGGCGGTGCTGGCGGCAATTATTATATCGGCAGTGATCTTCCAGGTCCAATACCAGGTGATAACACCCATGTGGCGCAGTAAACGTAAGTGTTACCCTCCTAGCCAATCCCCATCTGACTCTTATTCTCCATAGGTTCCGATCTAGTTCCTGGAATCCTGGCCTTTGTCACCTGTTTGGTGCTGCCCCTGGAAATCGGCATCATGGTGGCCATTGGAGTGAACCTACTCTTTATCCTGTACTATGCGGCCAGGCCAAAGGTTACCCTTGAACAATTGGAGACCCAACAGGGCATCCGATTCGTTAAGATTACCCCCGATAGGTGCCTGATCTTCCCATCGGTGGAGTTTGTGCGAAATATGGTGCTCAAGTTGGGCAGCAAATCCACTTTACCGGTGGTCATCGATTGCACCTATATCTATGCCGCAGATTATACTGCCGCCAAGGTTATATCCTCCATTGTGGAAGACTTTCGTCGGCGGCAGCAGAAGATCATATTCTTCAACTTAAAGCCCAGTGTAGTGAGTGTTTTTGAGGGATTGAACACAAGGCTGGTGCTCTGCTACAACACCCATGCCCTCAATCAGGAACTTCGACCCGATGAGCCGGACCTTTCGAGATCTGTGGACTCCCTTGATCAAGCTGAGTCCGGTAATGGAGCCAGTGAATGCGTCAGCATGGCCAGCACTCTTTCCCTGGCTAGAAGTTAGTCCTATTATGATCTAAATAAAATTAGCTTAGTTATCTATCATATTGCAAAACTTAATCTACTATGTTTCGGTTACTAAAACCTAAAACCTAACAATGATAATTGATAGTCCACTTACTTAAGAAATTTGTTGGTGAAACTACAAGTTCCCTTAGGAATAATACCCTTAACATTTTAGAAAATGGAATGTAAGGTTTATTGGACAAACTACTTCCAGAACTTTTTAATAGACATGTTCTTTTCCGAGTCTTTCATCATCACCTTGGACACGGCCATTTCAAAGTCCTCCTGGGTGACATGGACGCGTCTCTCCCTCAAGGCATACATTCCAGCCTCGGTGCAAACGCCCTTTACTTCTGCTCCCGAAGCACCAGGCATTAGTTCTGCAATCTTGCGGAGGTCTATGCCCCTGGTGAGGTTCATCTTGCGTGAATGTATCTTCAAGATATCCAATCTTGCCTCTTCGTTCGGCGGTGGAAACTCAATTTTACGATCAATACGACCCGGACGTAGTAGAGCCTGATCCAAAACATCAATGCGATTGGTGGCCATGATAACCTTGATGTTTTTGGTGGCCTCGAATCCATCCAGTTGGTTGAGAAGCTCCAGCATAGTACGTTGCACCTCTGAGTCGCCAGTTCCCGTTTCTAATCGGGCCGAGCCAATGGAATCGATCTCGTCCATGAAGATAATGGAGGGAGCATGTTCCCTGGCCATCACGAAGAGCTCCCTTACCATCCGTGACCCCTCGCCGATGAACTTCTGCACCAGTTCGGAACCCGAGACCCGGATGAAAGTGCACTCCGTGTGGTGGGCTACAGCTCGGGCCAAAAGGGTTTTTCCAGTGCCAGGTGGTCCGTAAAGGAGTACTCCCTTCGGCTGGGCAATACCCAAGGCATCAAATAATTCGGGGTGCTTGACAGGCAGCTCGATCACCTCCTTGATCTCCTGGATTTGCTTGTCCAGGCCACCAACCATTTCGTAGGTGGAATCTGGAACCTTTTCCACCAACATAAGCGACACCAACGGGTCCACTTTGTTGGGGAGAATTTTGTGTAGAGTGTAGCTCTCATTTCGCAAGGCCACTCGGCTGCTGGGAGTCACATCCTTGATATTGATGGCCTTGTCCACATCCACCACGTACTTGCCCTCCGGATGGACCTTCACCAGAACCTTATTTTTGTCCATTTGCTTTACAACCTCACCAATATAGCTTCCCTGATCCTGAAGCAGCAGCAACTCCTCACGCAGCAAGCGAACTAGGGGTTCCAAAAAAAGATCTAAAGAAGGATATCAAAATTTATTGAAGGACCTTACCCTTGGAGTTAAGTTCATTCCTTTGAGCCTGCAAACGGAGCAAATTTTTCTGGCGCTCGGTTACAGTAAACTGCAGTTCGGATATTTTCTGTGTAAAATATGAATGGAAACCGGGACCATTTTCATCATTCTCTGTAGCTCCCACGTCGATGTTCATCTGGAAAAATAAATAAGAGCATTAATAACGAAGAGGCTAATTATAAAATAAAGAAGGTTTACCTTTTATTAATCCAAAATGATTCTTTTCTGCAACCCTAAACTTTATTCTCCCTCCTTCAAAAAATTCCACAATTGTTGAAATAATTTTGTTTATTTTTTAAACGAAATAAAAGCGGGTTGACTTGCTGAGCTTTTCGGATGAGACAACAATTTTTAGCCAGTGCTGGCAAGTATTTGACAAAACAAGGGATGGAAACTTGATCTCTCCGATAAGTGGAACGGGAAAAAAAAGGTTTTTGAACAGGCTAATTGTTTATTTGCTATCTTGTCAACTCTGTTTAAACCACTCTGTTTTCACCAAAAATATATGCTTTAAATATTAATAATATACTAACCATAAAACACAATGAAGAACACCTATAAACACACAATTTTCCAAATGTCGAACGTTTAGACAAACGTATACTTTAAATAAAAGTATGTATATCCATAAAATATTTCTTTCGAAAATTTAGCTTTATAATAGACAATATTTCAGACAGTTGTTAATTGGGCTCAAGTTTTTAGCTGTCAATAACTTATCTTATCTTATTTCTTTGTTAATAATGCATTCGCGACCAAAGACTTACTGCCCACGCGAAGCGCCAAATTAAATCATAGCACGTCTTTAGGTTGAAGGTAGCCTCAAATCTTGGCTAAAATCGATTAGATATTTAATCTTGCTGAGTAGGCAATCATAATTTGTTTCAATAAATTTCAATTAATCTTCGGGACAGGGGGCCAAATAAATAACAGAGGAATTGGTAACAACTTACCAGAAGTTATATTTTCAAATTGATGAAAACCAATGTGATGAAAGGGAAAGTGTACAAAGTAGGCAAACCGTCTAAATAACATTAAAAAACAAAGTAAAGCAAAAGTGAGGTAATTTCTCTTCTATTAAAACAGTTGAATATATTATATTTACTTGATTTATTTAAGTACTTATGCTAATACTCTTCGTTCGCTATTCGTAAATAATACTATGGACAGCGGCAAACTCGCGGGTGGGAGGAACTCTGGCTCTGACATTTCGCTCAGCGAAATTCACAGCTTTAGAGGCCAAATAAATATTGTGCAGACATCTGCGGATGGTCGAAGATGGCCACAACTTAAATGCTAATTAAGGTGAGCTAGCCAAATGGAATGATACCTTCCACTAAGGCGATGAGCGTGGGCAGCCCAACAATTTAGTCGCTGGCCTCGGTGGGCAAAACTAAGCTAATACTTATTTAGAGCTTAAGTTTAAACAGAGACTTAGGGCGAGATTAGATTAAGACTATCGCATGACGAGGTTGCAGCGTTGATCTCCCTCCGGTTTCTTTGGATCCCTCAGATCGACGACTTCTCCGAAAGTTTCGCATGCAGAGTGGTGATGTCGTAAATGACCACCAGATCCTTGTTGAGTCCTTCGAAAACCTGAGCCACCCGCGTCTGCAGGTTGTAGAAGAACAATGGCTGTTCGCGCAGCTTGAAGTCCATGACCATGGTCGAAATAACCTTGGCGGCTGTGAAATCCGCTCCATAAATGTGGGTGCAATCAATGACCACTGGCAGAGTGGACTTCTGACCCTGCTTGTTGATCACCTTGCGCACAAACTCCATCGAGGGGAAGATCAGGCAGCGATCGGGCGTTAGCATAAGGTACTTCAGGCCAGTAGTCGTCTGTAATGGAAAGGGAATTCTTAGTAACAGGAATTTATTTTCTTTAGCTTTTATACTTAGTTTAAATTGAAAGCTACCATTAAAT